AAAAAAAAAAAAACGAACGACAAGTGTTCTCCACCGCTCCTCGACGCCGATTTCCGAGCGAGCGACCGCGAGATTCGCACGACGCAGTGCGTCGCGATGCGTCGCAGCGCGGTAACGTCGTAACGTAACGGCGCGTGCATCCGAAACGAACGCGGCGCGTGCGAACGCATGCGGAATTCCCGGTGCATCCTTCGCGCCGGATGGGAGACACCGAGCGCGCCGCCGTCGAGCAGGAAGAGGATTCTCGCCAACGACGCTCGTCACTTCACGAGTTTATTTTGACGACGGATCACCCTATACGCGCTACGCTCGTGCGAAGCGAGAGTCGAAGTGTCGTAAACACGCTGTGATGTAGTGTGTGAGAGATTCTCGTGAGAAACGTTTATCGAACACACGATCGAGAGATACGTCGGCGAACATTTGCGTGAGCGCGGGGCTCGATCGACGATTATTGCCGCTGAGATTCTGTGAAAATTTGCAAGATTTTTGTTTGTTACTGTGCAAGGACTGAATTGACTGGAGTCACCGCAGGTGCGTCTTATTCTCCATCGCGCTTAGAGATTTAAATAACTCATCTCGGAGTGAATTCAAAGGGAGACGCGGCTACGAGTTCTGGGCAGTTTGACATTTCGCCGAAATCGCGAAGGGACGCTCTTCGCAAGAGGATGGGAGGAAGGATTTCGCCTCTCGCCGAGGAAACATGTCCCGCGGCGGTCGTCGCAACGCGCGAACCGGTTACGCGCTCTTAAAATAGTTTCTCACGCGCGTAGGTAACTGGCGCGCACCGCCGTCCCGCCGCTGGAACACGCCAACGCCAGTTGCCAGGTAAATATCGATCGGCTATCGCCGTTAGAGATAGATCCCCGCTGAGGTGTAGCGCGAGAGAGATCCGCCGCGATCGCGATTACACCGGATCGCGACGACCGGCCCTCCCCCTGTGATCAGGAAAATAGCTCGCCTCCAATTAAAGAGGTACGGGAATTCGAACATAATCGCTCCGCTCGGGAGCGGAGTTTATCTTTTCCACAAAGTTTCAACCAAATTATGGAGAAGTCTATGTATCCCGGAATTATCTCTCCGTTCTATTCAATCCGAAATAAAACCCCTGTTAAAACAAATTTCTTGAAATGTTAACAGAAATTCAACGAAAAAAGAAGATTATTGAATGAAAAAAGTTTCAGGCTAATTTGAAGAGAAATACCGCTTTGATTTCAAACTTTGCTTCTCTCTCTTCGAGTTTCGCCGAAACTTCTTCAACGAGAAGAGAGTTATTTTGGATGAAGGGTGCACTGGAACAAAGCGTGGCGCGTAATCGATCTATTTGCAACGCGACTTCGACGAATCGTCGCGAGATCGCGGCGGAATTCAAGGATTCGCAATTTCGATCCACGCGGTAGATTTAATACGTCTTACGGGCTTGCGCCGTCGCGATTACTTATCAATTCGCATCAATTGAGAGGCGCGCATCAGTCGAGCTTCGGTCATACTTTTGCGAGAACGCAATTGCGCCAGCGACGTTAACGGAATTATCCTCAATGACGATCTATATTCCGCGGTGGTGGTCAATGCACACTTTTTCATCGCCCGGCGGTCAGTTCTCGAGAAAATCGAAAGAGAGACGCAAATACGTCTACGATGCATCATTGATCGATCATATGCGCGATCAATCATGCCACGCGCGTCAAAATCCAACCTTTCGTCCGTCCAACAAGCTAATTTGATCAGCATCCGAATGCACTGTCTAAACTCTAGGGATTAAACGGTCAAAAAAGTCGGCGTTCTAAAAGGGTTCGGAGAGCAGAAAAGTCAATCGACCGTGACAACGCTTCAATTCATAAATGTGGAAAGTCATAAATCCGTGAACCGTAAACCCTATTTTATACCCCAATTAGCACAAAATGCGACCGTTCGATTCTAAGTTCCATCCATATGAATCACTGAGAATTGCGTTTATTGTAAACAAGGAGTGACCAAGAAATGATAATCAGCAACCATCAGTATGCATCTAAAGAGATAAACTGAATACAAACAGCAGACACAGAAATTAGACGACGGAAAATACCATTATAAAACTTGAATTTTATATAAATATTAATTTTGTATTCCGGAAAAAAAGAAAGCGACGAGATTTTAATAAGAATTACATAATTAATTTTCTTAGCAAAAATATTAAATTTTTTTCTCCAGTGCGAAAATTGCATTAATAAACACGAACGATGTGGTTTCGCCATTAATTAATATCTTTAATTATTTCTAAATAATGTATTTAATTTTACACGTTCGATTCGGACGTTTCCTGGTGTATAATTGAGATACTATTCAATATTATCGCGAACAGTCGTATTTGCGACCATGTTTAACGTTGAGTATAAGTATAGATTCTTCGATGGCGAACAGCGCGAGGCTCACGAGCGTGTCTTGTGTGCTCGGTAATTCCTGCAATAACCGAAAATAATAATACGGCAGACGACACCGTAAATGGCACTGATAACGCAATAATTGACGCGATGTGCCAATTGACAGCGATGCTTCGATAACACGGATATTTACGGACGAAGGAGGTCACCAGATGTGTCCAGCCTTCAAGAACCGCGGACGATCGAGTCGCAGCATCCGCTCCGCATCGTCTCGCATCATCGGATTAACGCGATTTCGCTTTAATTAGCTCTAATGGAATCTCCCCAAAAATGCGAATTCAAAGAAACGTCATTTGTCTACTGTTTAGCCTGAGAATCAACAAAAACTGCGATCGATTGTCGCCTGATCGATTCGCGCGCATTCGGTTTTATCAAAATACGAAAAAGATAGATTCGTAGTAAGAAGCTCCTCGGATTATTACGTCACAGTGAATGCGACACGTAAAAGGCTGACCTTTCGCGAAATTCGTCTTTGATTCCACCGGAGTAAAATGGCGCAATCTTAACCCTTCTCAAGCGATTTGCGAACACGCCAACTAAATTCTCTATTTGAGCAAAACGCGGATTCCACAAGCGTTGTGGAATCAAAAAAGCTGACATCGCGATACTTTTTGTACATTTTCTAAATTATTTTTTATGCTTTTTTCAATTCTACATTTGCACTTATTTAGCTTCAGTCATTACGCGGTGAAAAATTTTCGATGATAGAAAGATTCATGCGTTTAAGGGTTATACGCGAAGATGAGTGAGGAGGAGAACGAGAAGTCTACTCCAGTAGTAACAGAAAATGATTGGAAAGTCTTCCTCCGCCGTGTGAACGCGCGTACGCGAGCGGACACGTAGGTAGAGATACCAGGCTGCCGCCGCCTTCTACGAAGGCGATTGGCGTTTGTTATTGAAGTTAATCCATCGCCTCGGGCCACAGAACGAGAGGCGAGGCTGATTGTGAGTGCCAACAGCAGTAGCAGCAGCAGCACGCCTGTCCCTGGATGACAAACATCCACATTTCGCTCGCGAGCTGGAATTTTTATTAAAACCGTTCGATCGCCCGTCTCCACGTACGCGGTGTCCCGAGCGTATCGCGCGCGTTCATACGCTTCGCTCGCGATCTCTGTACTCGCAATCAGATTCCTGAGCTTTCCAAAAATATAGAAAATGCGGAGGTTTATTTAATCACTTGTTAATAAGTAGCTTGAGATATAAAATGTATAACAAGGTTTACGCTTTCACTTTGAGTTACGATTCGAGCTCGGTCGTCATGTAAGATTTATGATCTCGATAGTAGTGCCTAGGGTGATATTGTTATCTCATAATACTGTTTTAACGTTTTAATTGTTTTGACAATTACATGCGATAAATAAATGTCGAGATCTTTATCAAATGTTTGTGCAAAATTTTTGAAACGATCTATTGCAGATTTACTCTAAGAACAAACCTACCACCTGTGGTTCTCAAGATACACTATCCCCATTTATGATGACGCATAATGACATATCTCTTGTAGGAATTAGATTTCATCGAGCCCGCACTAAATTTTTCCATTTCGTAAACCTAAGTCCATATCCATATTTCCCGACTTAAAATATAGTTCAGAAGTATTATTACAAAGGATCGGTCATTAAAATTCGACACGGTAAAAATAGAAGGACACCTCGTATATTTGCACCGTTTGCTATCGTAATAGCGTTGACAAATAGATAATTCGTTACTATTTGATATCATCATACACAGCTAATTTTTTCGATTAAATTGTCCAACGAATATTTTCAGAATTTTCATATTCAACACGTAATAAAAAAAAGAGCAATAAAAAATAATTCTGTTATTACGCGAGAACATTCCGAAAAATTTTCATTATTTCTAAACTTTTTAGAAAAATTTCGAGAAAGAGGATTTTAATGGATTTGAAATCTGTCCAAATGTGACAGTTTACATCCATGGATAAAAGAGAATAGCAGATAATTGCCTGGAAGCTTTAAAACAGCTCTACGGTGGCCACGGTGCGCTTTCGTTTATGGGTGTTCCCAGACCCACCTGAAAGAGTGGGGGGGGGGGGGGAACGCCCTTAAGACTACGACATCTCGACGGAGAGCCCTCCGTCAAAATCCTCGTGAGTCTACGCAGGGACTTGCCACAGAGAGTTCTACCATTCAGTAGCGTGTGAGCGAAATGGCGAATAGTGAAAAGTGATACAATAAAATATAAAGTAGTGAAATTTAATAGAAATATAAATCTCTCAAGAAGATCTATTAATTATTTATATAAAATATCAAGTGTAAAACAGTAAATATAAAGATGTGAACGCTTCGCGTTCAGGATGTGCAAAAAATAAAGAAATAAAAAAATCTATGAAAATATAATCGTGGACTCAGCCTATATTCGACAATCAGAACTCTACAATAAAATTATCTTCAAGGTACTAAATCTATACGTATGAAGATAATAATTCTAAGGTGCCAAATCTCGAAATATATAACGCATTCCAGTGAATAACGAGTGTCATCCTGTGTCAAAATTATAATTAGAAAATTCATGCAAATAAGATTAAACCGTTAATTAATATTCTCCAAAATGTTTTTTTTTTTTTAATTTAGTATAGACCGAAATATAATATTATTCGCGCGTTAGCAAGATACAAAAAATTAACAGATTCTTCAAAATTGATAAATTAATCGTTTGATAAGTAAAATCGTATATTGATACTAGTGAACAGAGAATATAGAAAAATGTCTGGAAAACGAGTGTGAAAGTTGCCACTGGCAACGACACGTATGAAACCAAACGAGCCAAACGAACCTTTTCCTTCCATCATCGCGTTTAACAGGTCGTTGTAGTGGAATTCTTTTCCAATAATAATTCATCCGAGATGTCGTAGGACGCGATTATGCGCGATATAAATAGACACTTAATGGCCATGTTCGAAAGGTGCAATTATTGCACGAACGATCGTTTTGCATTCGATTAACGTCGCCTCTTTATTCTCCGCGCTATCTTGGCAGGTATTTAATGCTCCCGGGGATAATTTGCGTGACTTGTAAAGACATATCGGCTACAAAAGATACGATCGCGATAGTTCCTTGATATTTTTAAGAAAATTTTAATAAAATAGTTTGTAGTGAATTACTTTTGTGTTTCGAGATATCTTCATTTATCTTATTTTTTCAAAAAGATTAAATGTGATGATAATGATGGTATATATCTACGCTAAGGACGATTGTTATAATAGAATTTACCCTTTACAGAAAAAATCTTCAAATAATAAAAAATTTTTTCCTTACAAGACGTTTCGTAAGAACACGACTTGTTTGCTCCACTTGCATTTGTAGCTTTAAATGAAATCCGTTCATTCTTATTTCTCGCGGTAAATTTTAGAATTTTCGCGATAATTGTTTTAGACAAGAAACAAAATCACTTCTACTCCTATTAATAAGGAGACCCCGAATTCGTGAAAACTTAAACGAGTTTAAACGGTGACCTCGGCGTTATCCCTGGAACGGAGAGGAGCAACATTACGCTGATTGCTCGGGTTAGCGCGTTAGCAGCACTAGCAGGAGAGAAGACTGAAATTTCATTCTTTTTAGCACGCGTTCTCGCTTAATGACACCCTGACTCACGTTCGTGAATATTCTTAATAATCTTAATCGGGCCTCGTCGGCATAATCGGCGTTCTTCTCGTCTCCGGGAGTGGCGCGAGTTAGGAGGACGTATTATAATCATAGTCACAGTCGTAGCGTCCGGCGTTTACACGTAAACAATAGTCTACATCTATATATGCGCGGAATAAAGCATATAAATATCATATAGATACTATTAGACAGGGCTGAATATGATCGTATAACTGTCGACGATAACACCGATCTGACTTGAGTTTCGGTACACTCAGATTCTACTCTCCACAAGTTTTGCAATAAAAAAACCTATACAAAAAATTATATTTTGAGCAATGAGTAATAATAGAAAGAATCAATAATATTATAACATATTATCAGAAAATTCAGTCATATAACTTGAAAAAAATTATATTGAGAGTATGTGAAATAAGTAAATTGTATAAGATAAAATAATAGGATATAGTAAAATATTTCCAAGATATAAATTCACTATCATATGTATAACAATATAAGATAGCAAATAAAAATATCAATTTTATTATTCTAATAAATTAAACTATTTTTTAGATAAGATAAAATGTACTAATCATCTATTTATTATTATCTATATTATCTATATTATATTTCCTCCAAACTATCTTTTTAAAACAATATAATCTTACAGTTGTCGTTATGGATATGTGATTCAAGGATAGATTTTCTTGTATCTCAGTATCTTTCTTCAGTTCGAAGCTCACACACAAAATAAGAAAATATTTACGTGCGTGAAAAGACTTAGTAAAATATCTTATTATTTTAACAGGTATATTAAATCACATATTAAATAAGAAAGCTAAGCAAATGAAAGCAGTGTATCGAATGAGTGTGAAACAAACGAGCTAAATCAAATCTATCTCTTGCAGGATGAGAAGCTTAAACATGCTGATCGCGGCCATTGTCGCGATTTTGTACTTGACGCTCTCGACGAAACATTCGGAAGCATGTAACGAATCGATCTGTGCAAGCGTCGTGAGCAAATGTATGCTCACACAAAGTTGCAAGTGCGACCTGGTCACATGCACTTGTTGCAAGGAATGTTTCTCGTGTCTAAGCCATCTGTACGACGAGTGCTGTTCATGCGTAGGTAAGAATCACGAACGATAATTGCTTAATATTCAAATTTACTCCTTATATTGGTATTTCTATTTAAAATTATTAGAAATATAAATCAGTGGGGTTAAAATTGACTAACAATTAGAATATATGATATCAAATGTTTTGCAAAAAACAGGTAAACTCTAAGAAAATAAAAAGATTAAAAATCAAATTAATGCTGAATCACTTTTAGACAAAATTACAAAATTTTAATAGATTTATCTCTAACGATATGTTCATACTCTTTAGTTTTTTATATTTTAATTTAGTTCTGCAAGGAATATAAATTAATATAAAAATATTTTAATAAAGTTTATTATTTACGTTATTAATTTTTAATATTATTTTCATCGGAATAGTTTCCATAGAAGAGAATAAGCAGCAAAAATGTTTCATTCGTATTTAAACTGCCCACACAGTTTCATGCTATTTTTCTCTAGATAAAAAAGGAAATGATAATTTCGAAACATTCTACATAAATGACGCAATATGTTTTCGCGAGTGCAGATCTATGCCCGAAGCCAAACATCACCGATAACCCGTTGAGCAAGAAATCTCACGTGGAGGATTTCAGCGTGCCAGTGCCCGCGCTCTTCGTAGCGCTCACATCAGAGGAGGACGTGCTCGGGCGATGGCTCACGTTAACATTTCCCGTAGATTACGATTCGAAGGTATTTGCGCACGAGAAGGAAATAAAATACTATACGCGTAAGTATCAAAAATTGAAATTACTATTGGAAAAAAAAACGTAACTACTTGTCCATAATATTAATTGTCTATGCACTAAAAATTATATGAAATTGTTAGCACGAATCAATCAATTATAAATTGCATACTATGCACAATGTAGTATTAATTAGAAAAAATAATATAAATATAATAACAAAATTAAATCCTTTAGACTTTTTGTGGAAAATATAGTTTCAGTTAAAGATGAAAAATATTAAAGCCTTTTAAATGGACATGTACAAAATTATTTCAAATAATTTGAATAATTGATAAATAATTGGTACATCGATTAAATGATATAAGAAACTGACGATACATTTTGGATGACAGAAACGGAAGAGGAACAACACCCTCTGAAACCAAACATTGTAACGGTGAACTGCACCGTCGCGTTCATGGCGCAATGCAGCTCTTGGAACAAATGTAAAGCGTCCTGTCAGAGCATGGGCGCTTCGAGCTACAGATGGTTTCACGACGGCTGTTGCGAATGCATAGGCGAGAGATGCATAAACTACGGGATCAACGAGTCGAGATGCACGCACTGTCCGCTGGACAAGGATGACGACATAGAGGAACCGTACGACGATTACGGTCAGGCCGATGAAGACCTGATGACCGAGGATGAGGATTAAGATCGAGGAAGTGCTTTGACCGCGAGAAAGACATTTGTTCTTCCGATGACAATGACGTCAGGGAATTGACTCTTGTAACGAATCGTTTCTTGTTATCGCGTTGAAACGCTTTTTCAGATTTTAGTAGTCCTTGATTCTAAACCGTCGTACATTTGGAATTTTACTTCTAGAAATCAATTATTCAGCATTAGCGAATTATTGAATAAAAATAAAATAAAATTCACAAATGTATAATCTTAGTTTAGAACATCGTATATCTTAAGAGTGAATTTTTATGAATTATTTAATTATACGGGAATATAATTTTTTTTAATCCTAATGCGACAAGGGTGACTCAAAACGTCGAGTCGACAGACGAATCAAAACACGATTATTCTACAGCCACCCTGGTCTCTGTACATGACTGCAGTGACATGTATAAATGTAGTCTTTCCTTTCTTTTTTTGTTTTCTTCTTTTATTAAGAATATACTCGAGAAGCGTTAGATTATCGTACAGCGTCGAGGATCTTTATTATCGCGTTCGTGCCATAAATAAAATTGTACATACATCAAATCGCTCTCGAGAATATTGAGATCGTTTTACACATACAAGACACCTCAAAACTTTTCCGAAAGGAAACTATGAGTTACAATACCGCTGGTAAATTTCCGGATATTGAATGTCGCTCGCAGTGACAATTTTAAAGCATCTTAATTATCCTGCTAATCTCTGCTAATCATATTAGAATTATATATTATTTTGAAAACTAATATCTCATTTTAGAGTAAGGCGTGCCCAATTATCTTAACAAATAATTTCGTTTTATTCGACTCAAATTTATATCTAACATGCAAATGTATTGAACTTTTATTCCTGTAATAAAGTTCATGTGTAAAAAGTGTTTAGGGATTTACGAGCGGTACTGCATACTATAACGGTGGTGTACACGCACTCGCGATTAGAGCAGGCAATGTAAAATACGCCTTGTTTTCCTCGAGCGGAATGTGATATGCTTCGGGATCGATTGAGTAATAATATTTAGCGAGGTGTGCGGAGACACTCTCGAAGTTCAAGTTATCCATGTACAATAGAAATAACGACCACACATGCACGCACTTCGGTATCAAGGAATATTCGAGAGATCGGAGAGAGTATCTTCCCGAAAAATCTCACGAATGAACGGAACGATAGTCTGGATCACGCATACATCTGTATATACGAGTTTTAACAACGTGCAGCGTCCATTTCTGAACACGAGAGCGGAGCCTCACTCCGTAACATTTATAGCAGACAGAACTATTTCAAATGCGACGTTCTGAAGTATAGTTCTTCTGCAACATATGTTTGTATGGTGGTGTTGCGGTCTGCATGGTGTTTCGGTTTATAATAATATCATAAATGTTACGAGGTGACATCCTGTATAACGTTCTTTATATAATTTTACTATCGTTAGTTGCACACTCAATATGCACATACTAACTTGTACCGCGCTCGCAAATATCAAACATGTATACATCACGAATAAAATTGGTCGAATTACTAGCTGAACTGACAGATCAATAAATTCCGTTCAACGGTATACCTTTGGATCATTCGAATCGCCAAACATACCCAGACTTGGTCTTCCTTTAATAATTTTCTATCCAATCGATCTGTCCGATAGAATAACAACATTAAAAATAAAAAGTTTTATATTATGTATTTTTCTGATATGCAATATTCATTCAGAAATCGAGAAAGATTGTTTTAGAGTTCAGTGATCCAAAGGTTGAATTTTCATTTCGGACACATTTCAAATACGAAGAACATTGTTTAAGTGGGTGGATGTTCATCTTGTACTTCATTGCTCTCTGGCAATTTGATGAAGGACAGATCGCCGCCGCTCCACATCGAGTACAATTGCGACCTCGTACACTCCTAGAATCATCGATATTTACGCTATATGAAAGAGGAGAAAGAGAGAGAGAGAGAGAGAGAGAGAGAGAAAGAGAGAGAGAGAGAAAGAGAGAAAGAGAGAAGAGCAAGAGAGCAAACGGAAAATTAACTTCCAACAACATCGAAGCGTTGTGTAATATAACGGAATGGTTGTAAATAGAGGAAAGCAATCGCAGCGAGTAAGAGTAATTCGTACGCCATCATTTTTTGACTGCATAAATCCTACAAATATATCTTTTCTGTCGCGTTATGCTTTAGCAATTTTGTTTGAATCTTCTTTTGAACGTTTCATGTATATAAATCTATATACGTAGAGTTTGTCTCTCCTTCGAATCAAAAGCTGAAATTTGTGATCGGCAAAAATGTCGGTGTACGAACACCTTTTTTTTATTGTGTATCGATATCAGGATGAAGTACCAGCTTAATAAACTTAAGTTCACTAACACACCGTACTCTAACAGTGAGAAAACAATTTTATTTACCCCGCCACCCGCGCTCTCCGAGCCCGATCGGCTGTGCGCCGAGACGCAGGAGTCGGTTGACGAGCTGCTCTTGCGAGACGGCAATGTGTCCGCTGTACCTTCAAAGAAACGTTTCATCTGAAATCATCTCGCGCACGAATCTCTACGCGGGGTGGGGTATCTTAGCAGTATAAAATGGGATATCTCGAGCACGATATCAATGCACTCACCAGATTCAATTTCCCTATGATCGCAATGCGAATGAATGCTGTCCTTGCTATCGCCGTGACTGCCGCTGGCACCACTCTGTTCTGCATTACGACAGAATCATTCGCAATTCGGATTTGTAATTTCATGATAAACAACGATAAACCTTACCAGAATCCCTGTGCTCACCGCTGTGAACACTGTGATCGCTATCGCGATGCCCGGATTGATCGGAATGATCGCTAGAATCCTGCGGCCAACATCTGGGCGAGCCTATCCTACGCGATTCCGACCAAATAGCGGAATCGTAATTCGAGTCGAAATTGCAGATTGTCAAAATGACGCCCGGAACATGCTGACTAGTGTAAGCCGAGAGTTGATTGGATGGCCGAACTCCTGCACAACGTATAATCTTCGAATCGCACAGATACTATGAAGATAAGTTAGCTACAGTTTAAATTTAACATTTGCCAAATTCAGTCTCACGAAAATCAAATAAAATCGCAAATTAAGAAGAAATATGAAGAAGAAAACAGTTTCACAAAGATATTAATTCCTATGAAACCGAAAAATCCTTCGATATTCAAATTTTGAATCCTAATTATTAAAATTCAATTAAATTTGCGAAAGATTATTTTTTACGAAATTGTTTCTCAACTGCGTGAGCTATTGACAAGATTCTACCGAGCTTCTGCTACCTGGTTTGCAAGATAACAGCTGAATAGCTTCCTGAAGACCGTCCTGACTAGCCATCGCCGACGTTTGCCACATCGAGTCAGGCGTAGTCGATCTGCTGCGATCCTGCTGAGGTACCCTCAACCTTGACCTCATATCTTGACGCGGCCACTCTATCACGTGTTTGCAATCCCAGGGCATCGACCAGCGTCTCATCGTGCCCTCGGCGGATTCGCCCATCATTTCCGCCGCCGCCGCTTCCGACCATCGTCTCTGAACCTTGATACACGAAGCCGAGCATGACGAAAGCTTATTACGACAAAGAGGGTCGCGCCGAGTTCACGAACATGCCAATTACCTGCAGAGGAAACAACGAATACGGCAAAGGGGATCTCCGACAATTCTGCGCTGATTGTTGCGTGGACGAGCAGGACACCGGCGGCACCGGCGAACTATAAAGACGTTCGAAGCACTGCTGAAGCGCAGCGATATCGCAATCACCGCTGCCGCTCTGAGAGCACGAGCACTCTGCCATACTACCTGAATAGTTGAATCAGCGATTGAGCATAGAACCTTCTCTCAATTCTACTAAAACTCAAGTAATCATGAAGTAACTCTAGATCCTATTTTAGCTCTAATTTCTAAAAACAAAATCATCTCAAAAATAAAATCATCTCACAATGCTACTTTAACTACCATCTCAATGATATTTTATCAAAATAATATCATTTTTATTCAGCTAACATTTCAATAATTCTATCTACTCACTGAACACACCGGCATCTTAATAATACAAGCTTACCTAAGCACTCACAACACGCAACGCAGAACTGATATTGCAAGTTTATGAATGTCAAAAGATTTTCTCTAAGAATATCCTGAAAATGCGAAAGAGTATCCTGTCAATTACAGTAATACTTCAACGCAGAGAGAATCAGACTGATCATAAACTACTAACATGCCTGTCCCCATCATTGTCACGAGACTCATGATCTCTCATAGCAGTAAGTACGTGATTCTTAACAGTATTACTGGCTATATGCGTAGCTCTTGTCAACTCTTCCCATCCAGCCAAGCATTGACTCGTCAGACGACATTGCGCTACCGTGTCGTGCACAGAGAGAAGTGCTTGCAGGGATTGGGCCAATTTAGTACCAGCTGTACATAGGCCATTAAGTGTCTGCAGCACGAGAGACAATTTATTTTCTGCGTGGCACAGAACTGAAAAACATACAACCGAAGAGCATACCGACCTGTAAGTACGTCAACCAGTTACCAAGGCATTCATTTATCTCTAACTGACCCCTCGGCATCTGACCATCAATAGACTTTGGCTCTGTTCCACCCTCAGCCATATCTGGATTCTTTTAAACTGCCCACTGCCTGATAAAACTCATCACTATCTCGTGCATCAACATTTTGAGTATCCAGCATGGAGAAGGGACACAACTATCAGAATTCATTCTATAGAATACTATAGTAGCAACAACAACCGCATGATAAGTCGAAAGCTGATGCACTGATGCAGTGCAGTCCTGAAAAGAAAAAAATTTATGGATCGAGAGCAACGTTAACGAGGCGAACAAACCGTTCTCAATTGACAATAGCGATTTCGAGTACTCACATCCTTCCGACTGAATTAACTGGCTCGAGGCTCGAATTATTGATTGTCTCGTAAAGAGATCATGATCCTCGTATCGACGCCGACACGAAACCTCCGGGTATTCGCCATACGAGACACCGGAGCACTTACATACGCGTTCGTCTGCCTGTCACTGCTCCGAACTGTGTTTCGGAGTAAAAGATAGTACTAGGAGATCCTGTCAGATGACGCTATTCAACAGTCGTAGTCGTGAATGAACGAGCAATGCACCGGCAAGATGCATCGCCGCATTTTCATCAAAGAATTGCGCGATCCGATCAAAGATAAAGTTGTTTTAACGGCTGCGATGTTAGTCCATAATAAAAAATTCAAGTAAAACCCTAACGTTTTTGCATTTGTGTATTTTTATTCTTTTGAATTCAATATTTAATTAATTTTTGCAATAATTAATTTTTTAATTCTATATTTAGTTTTTGTATTATAAATTATGTTGTAAATAGAAAAAAAATTTTGTAGTCGAATTTGGCAAGAACAAATTTTATAAAATATCTATTTCGAGCTTTGCAAGCAAACTAGAATCTTGTCACTTTATTAATATATTGCAATTATATTTGATATAAAAAATTAATAACAGTGTTCATTGAATCACAAAAGAAAAGACAAGATAAAATGTATGACCATTTTTAAATCAATCAAAAGTTTAATCATTAATTTTATAATAAAATTTAGCAATTCTGTTTTGCAAAATAAATTTCTGTCAAGTTTCCATTAAGAAAATTTGTGCACAATGTATTATCTTGACGCGGAAGCACGACAACATATTTGATGTCGTAATTATCAAGGAACGCGGCTATATAATTATAAACGACTAACGGCAATCGAAGATCGTGCGGAAGGAAAGCGGACATCGGCTTATCCGACTCGTTAATCCGTTTTATGTGTTTCGCCGCTCCAACAACGTCTTTAATTATCGCTTTGGAAAAGCGATCTTTCCATCGAAAGCGGAAAGTGCGTGCATTTCCTTCATGCTCAACGCTTCGATTAAAGCGTCGATTAAAACATTTAAGATTCTATTCAAATCTAAATATCTCTTCTATTACGATTATTTTAAGTGCATATAAAAATATTCAAATTAAACTTATCTCCTTCGAAAAGTCATGTTTAATTATGGTTGGAATACAGTACTTAATAAATTAACGTACGATAAGCTTCAATTAATTAATGGTTTCTAAAATATGATTAATCGCCTCTTATGACATACATTAAAGCTGCGATTTTTGACCTTTACAGATCCCCAAATTTCAGCAAAAAGAATGTGATCATTTGATAAAAAAGAGTGAGAGAGAAACCTAAAACAATCTGCATACTTTACTAACAAAATCATTAAACAGGGTCTACTCAAATCGCACACTGACTTCGCAGAATCTTGTAGACAAACAACCGGTATCTTAGAACACTATCAAGTTTTTGCGTAATGTCCGTGTTGTTCCGGACGTGCGACGTATCGAAAAGTACCTGTACATATGCCTTTCGAGAAGAGGTAAACCTTGCTGGAGGTGAAAGGGGCCTGGAGACTGACGTCGGTAGATGATTAAAAAAAGACAGCGAACGAGCGAGGACGGGAGCGGGAGACACCTGGACGGAGTGGAAACGCGATCGCGTGGAATACCGCGGTGGCAGAGTTACAAGCGGCGGGGAGGAAGAGAGTTCAAGTGGTGCGGGCCTAAGACCCTGAGGAGGGGACCCTTAACGGTAAAGTCGCGGCAACCTTATAGGTGACTTCGTGGCGGCGAGAAGCCGTCACTGACCACAACCGACTGTTTTTTTTTCTTTAATCAGCCTGTCCGACCTCGGTGAAATTAACACTCCATTTTTAGAGTTTTCATGTAATTAATAATACAATTATAAAAATTAAGAAAAAACAACAGCTAAAGATACCAAATGCTGATTTCACGTCACATGTGCGTGAAAATTGAAAATGTTTAATCTATAAAAACTATTAGGAACTTTCCATCTGAGAATGGAAAAATTACCGGCATTCTTTCATTTCTGTTTTTCGTGGCGGTAGCAGTAGACAGATAAAATGTCACGTACATTTGTAGCGATAAAAAATTTTGTTATGCGAAATCTGTTACATAATGTTTCAAATTTTTTTCTGAAGAAACATGTCTGACTACCGTCCAAATATTATTTGCTTTCTCAGTCTCTCGTCATACTATTAATAGGTACAAATGCAATTATACCGAATCCTAATTAAGCAGTTCACCCCCGCGTGAATATCATTCACATAGAACCGTAATTTCAAAAGCAGGTCAAACGGTCAGACAGTGATTTTTCGATGTAATCCGGTTATGGTTTAGAATATAGTCGTACGTCGTGTTTCGAGACTGTCGAAGGATAACTGGAACATAGATATGTAGAATCTAATAACTATTTTCGCCAGAAATCTTATAAAATTTAGAAAACCCCATAATTTCTTCGGCAATATCACGTAAATCGAAAAAACACTTTGTATTATAATTAATTTAAAAAATAGAATAGAGTAAATTTAAATTACACGTGTATAAAATTTATTTCACTACAAATTGCATCTAATTTCAGAATTTTATTATAGAAAGCTACTTCTTTATAAAATTTATGACTTTTCTTTTACCGAAATTTGAAGTAAAGTATAATTATGTATAATAATATAGCATTAGAAGATAAAGTAAAGATTTACATGTATGTAAATAATTGTGATAAAAATGGCAATGTCACTGCATTCTCACGACTGCATTCTTGCATTGATGCACGTAGTCAGGAAATTGCGTAGCATCCATCAATGTAACATTCTCATTATCAAAACTTCACCATACAATTATTCTCGAAACATACATTAATCATTTGATCTATCCTGTCGTTTTAACGAGTCACCTTTGAAGAAAATTCTATCCTATCAATTTCTCCCACGGCAATTTTCTAAGATTTGATTCTACATTTTTATTAAAATTAATATTAATCATAATTTCTGACACTAAATAATTGCTATAAAAAAGTATAATTAGTTCAATTTTTCAACTTAATGTACGAATTAACTCGCGCCTTTCAGAACCACTGATCCAGTTGAGCATTAATTTAATGAAGAGTAGTCAATGTTGCTCTCGTGGCATTTAACGACGGCAAGACCGAAACGGATAAAGTGCACGTACACAAGGATCTAATGAATTATCTATAACGCAAATGTTGCGCTGCGTGAAAACGTAGTAGTTGCACGTAGTCGCTACTCCTGTCCGACGCGGCTGGTCGGGTCTACTCGGTGCGGGACTTTCATCGCCGTCGAGAGAGCAAAGGGGGCCTGAGGCCCGGGGCACTCGACGGTCGACCGGTGAAGGGAACGGATCGTCGTCGGTTGTTCTGACTCGTTGCTCGGCGAAAAAGCCGCGGATAAAATGCCGTCGAGTCAATGATTACAGTCGCGAATCTTTTATTCGGTAGATGCGCGTTAATCGCGTAGTCGAATTATAATAACGCGAGATGAGACGCGGAATGCATCATGGAGAATCCTGAAGAAGCAGCGACTGCTCAACATCGCGATTAATCTGAGGATTCGAGTGATTTGGAACTATGGCAAGCACCTGGTCGTAATTAAGTACTGATTATCGGTGGAATGTGCGCGGATCGTTAAAGTGCGCAGATCGATGAACAAGCGGAATCAGAGTGTCAGCAGCTGATTGTTTGAAAGAACTAATCATAGGATTGTTCGCTGAAGTGTGAAAGAACCAGCAGGATTTAAAGGGCTCCAATAAACAGTAGTAATATATCGAACTAGCGTTTTTATCGAATTGTTTCACGTCAACGAGAACGTTTTGAAATCTTTTTTCATCGGAGGCGAGAAAAGAAGTGCCTCTCGTGAAAGTTTCTTCGCGTGGTGCGCGAGTGCTCTCCAGAAGCCCCCTTCGTTAGCGGGGCTCCGCGGATGTTCGCGTACCGAGTTGGTTCCTGGTTCGTTGGATCGTCGATGTGATCGCGCCGCGTCGTTCCGTCGATCCGTGGAGAATGATCTTAGTGTACGGGATCATCCTGCCCCTCGTGGGAAGCGTCGCGTACGCTCAAGGCACGTATATATCTCGATACGAAACCGTTCGTTTTGAAAGTGACGTAAGCTGAAGCGCAAGAAAGCTAGAGCCAAATCAGAAATATTACAAAAACGATAAAATTGTGTTATTTAGAAATTATCGATACTGTAATATATATTTTTGTTGAAGCAGAAAATTTAACAAATCACACGTTTTACAATAAATATATTAATTAAGCTACTCTTGATATTGTAATAATATTTTTAGCTCAAAAATTTATCGTTTTTGTAAAATAAATTAATACAAGGTTATCATCTTTATTCTTCAATAACTTCAAACATAAAATATTTGAGCAATAAGATCTTAAATTAAAATCTTTCGAAAATTCTTTAACTTTCTAACATTTCCAATAATTTAAAATGTTCTTTTTCTTGTTACGCCACTTACAAATCGACAAATTATGTTTTCGACATAAACGAGTCAAAAGTGCGGCTACTACGTATCTCGTGGTTGCACAATTTAGATATATATCGATGAGTTTCACGCGAGGCGAGTCTTTTCACGAGAGAAAAAAAGAGACAAAGAAAATCTTCTTCGCTGAAAGCCTTCTATCGCTCGCGATCGATCTCTCGCGAAATGCAAAGCAGACGCAAGTACGCGTGCATCCTTTCTGCGCTCTCCGAGCAGCATTCGAGAGAGCGCATTCCCTGAGCAATACTTTCAATAATGAGGCTCTTCGATAAAACAGCGTGACCTCTCTAAATATTTGTTTATAAATTTTACTATTTGAGAGAGCAAAAAGAAAAATCTTGAATAAGTGTGAAATTTTGAGAACAACTGTCAATAATAAAATTCTTTAGTACAAAACTGAAATTGTCAGCAAATGTTTACTTCCGCTCACGAGAGAATCATATAACATGGAGTATACACGTTCTAACGTAAGAATTCTAGAAACAGGAAAGGGAAGGTAAAGGGATTCCTTCGGCAGGAACACGTATTCCGCGTTATGTCCCTGGTGAGCGAGGAAAAGAGAGTAAGCGAGCAAAACAGGTACCGCCCACTCTCGGGTTCTCGTCCTCGCTGGTTTTCTGGTGTCTCGAGGTCACCCGGTATACCCGTA